ATTATCACCATTTGGATTATTATTAATTATATTTGTAATAATTCTTTATATTAAAACTCAAAGATTACAATTAAAAGATTTTAAATTATTATCATTAAATAAAACCAATGAAATGTTAAGACCAAATACTGAAGAGAATTTTAAATTAGTTTGAATAGAATTCAACAACAAAAATTAAATTTTATATGATATTCAATTTCAATAAATACAATGCATATTTTCGAAATATCTCTCGCATTTACTATTTTTGCCTAGTCTCCAGTAACATTAATGATTCGATATTTTTAGAAAGTCTATGTTGTTGTTTTTTCTCTTTAAAAACAGAATTGTCAGAATAAATGAGATTTTTTTTTGGTCTAATAAAAAGAACTTTATTTTAAGTAAAAGATAATTAACATAATAAGAGTTTATACTATTAATCAATAAATATAATCAACATGAAACTATTTGTTAAAACTTCAGTATAGTATAACAACTAATTCTATACAAAATAAAATCTTCCTGACTTGTACTTCTGTCTTTGTTTCAACGTACTAGTTAAATAGATCAGTGTTATTCGAGTTTAATGGGCAGTTCTTTTAATTTGTCAAGGAAATCGTTCATAGTTGGCTATAAAATACATCTATCATATTTTAGTATTCATCATTCAATCATTATCTAGCTCGAGTTGATAAAAACCTTTTGTATTCGGACTAGTTTTAATTAACTCGAGAGATTCTCTCGTCAGTTTGAATTTTATATTATAATGAAGACTTATTAATATACTTATGATTAAAATTAATCTAAACATATCACAAGACCAGTTAAATGTATACTCAGTTCTGAATAAACATTAGTTGCCAGTGTTATATTGTATTATCAAAGTACTTTATCGTGTTATAAAATCTCTTAGCTAATTTTTTTTATAGAAAACACGTCTTCCTTTTCCAGTTGTGTATATTTCTTTATTCGATTGTTCGTTTAAAAGAAATAAACAAATATTTTACAAATCATATAATAAAATAATAAAAAATTTCTAAAAAAAAGTACGTATAAAAACTAAATATTATGTATTTAATTGTTTACATATAGTGGTAACTTGTGTTTTTAAATCATCATTATGATTTACTTGAAAAATATGAATAATTTTTCCTGATGATTTTATAATTAAATTAATAATTGTTTGTAAATAAATAATAACATCTCGATAAATTTTATCTGATATAAATATAAGATCATATTTTTTCCAATCATTATTTATATGAAATGGTTTATTTTGTAATTGACCATTTGTTATTTTATTATAATTTAATGAATGACTATAATCATCAATAAAATAAGCTGCTATTGTAGATTTATTTGGTTTAACTTGAAATGATTGAAGAAAATCTTCACTTATTATAAACGGATATTGATGATACCAGCTTTCAATTCGATGTTCATCATCAGTTATTAAAATAAAACGAAGAGGAATTTTATTTAATGTGAAGGAAGATTTTGTATCATTAGCACTACGACAACGTGAGATTTGAGTTTGTAATTTTATTGTTGATTTTAATGAAATATTAGAAGCAGTTTTTGGACGAGGAGATATTTCAGAAATTATTGGAATAGAACTATTCACTTCTTCTTCTTTTTCTTCTTCTTTAACAATCTCTAATGGTATTGAAGGATTATCAGGAGGAATTGGATTAGATATTAATAATTGATCGATTTTTTCAACAGGAGCTGGTTTTAATACTGACGAAGGTGAAGAACGAAATCGTGGTGGTGCTGATGATGGTGGTTTTGTTAGTTTAAATCTTGATTTTGATGGATTAATATTACAGATTAAAAGAGAAGGATGAAGTGGTTTTGCTGCTACCATGAATGGTTCAAAGGCTGGTTGAAGATCAATTTCTGATTGACGTTTTATCATTTGCGAATAAGATAAAGTATTTCGAGGTCTTGATGTATTTGGTCGTAATCGAATATTTGAAGTTGGTCTTGAATCTATTAGTGGATATGTAGTTAATCATAAGTATCATGAATTAGAATAACAATTTAATCTCTAAATTTTAATATGATTAGTATAGTTAAGTAATAATGAATCGTAAGATCATCAATAGAAATGTGATCACCAAAAAGAATATATTTTCTCATGTTTACACTCAATGATCTAATTCCGAGTGAATAAAAATAAATCAATATATTTTAATCATTTATCGATAACTAATAAGAAGTTTTTCTTAAAGAAATGAATAACTTACCTACCTGTTTTAGTTTTTAATATATTCATTTGTTTATCTTTTTCTTGTTGATTAGTTTCTTGTTTAAATGTTTCAAAAGAATATTTTTCACAACTTAAACGTGATGCATTTCGATCAGTTGAATGTTCTTCTGTTATCGCTGGTGTTGTTGTCAAAGATTTGAATGGTGCTGATGCTTGTCTTAATTGTAACCAAACATCTGAATCTAGATGAGAATATTTATGAGCTAATTGTTTACGTAGTTTTCTTTCTTGAACTATTTTTCGCCTTTCATGGGATTGTTGTGCAAAACTATTTTGTATAGTTTCATCTGAATTTGTTTTTATTGGAACTGTTAATGTAGCTGATTTAATTCGAACAGGTGTCAAACGAGATGATGGAATCATAGATGATACAGATGATTCTTGATCATCTATAGAATAAAGATCAGGTGTTGGAGTCGGTGGATAAAGAGGTGGAGGTGTTCGAACACGTGTTTCTGTTGGAATATGTATACTACGTTGAACGAAACATTGTCTTGGTGAGTTTTCATGTTGATTTTGATTACTTGAAGTAAATTTTTTAGCCGATGAACTTCTACATCCTCGAACTGTTGATGTTGGCCATCCAGGAAATTGATAAGGATTTAAAAAATTTGAATCATCGAAATGATTCATTTATTATTCTATCTAAAAAGAATTTTTTTTTCAAAAAAAAATCAAATTCAAAATTAATAAAAAGAAAAAGATACTAAAAACATGTTAGAGTTAGTTTATGCTAACTACAAGAACTATCAAATGAAAAGAAAAGGAACTAATCTTCATCTTCACTCTTGGTATCCATGATACATTCCCATAAGAAGATACTAGAAATATAAATAGAATAGAAATTGTCAAAGACATTAACGAATTTTTCTTACCAACAATCATCACCACCTAAACTAACTAAATATTTTTCATTTGCAAGAAATCGAACATTTGTAACATTATCAGAATGACCATAATAAGCTTTATATTCAGCCTAGAAATTTTCATTACTAATATTGAAGATTTAGAAAAGAAAAATATTTCTTACTCCCTCTTCTGGACATGGAAATTTAAATAATTTCACTGCTCCTTGATCATCACCAGTCGCAATTGTTGATGATGTTGCATGTGCACAATTAATATGATCTTTTTTCACATCTTTTGGCCAAATACCAAGTATATCATCGCCAAGTGTGCTATACAAAAATTAATTTCGATAAACAAAAAAAGCTTGTCAACATAGTTTCTTCAGGGCTAAAAATGTGGAACTCACGTATGTTCGTATAAAAGATCTCTGATGACCTTTAAGTCTTCTCTTATTTCTGAAAAAAAACGTATTCGCTAGCATTGAAACTTCTTCACAAGTGCTAACATGTGAGTGATGTGACAACTAGCAAATTTAAACTCAAAATTTATGGTCACAATTTTTCTGAAGGATCGATGAGTGTAAGTGATATATTAAATTGTCACTTACATCCTCAACATAGAATCGGAAAACTCGAGCTTAAAACTTACACTAGTGACTTTTCTTCGAAAATTTACGTGAGTTTCGCAAAATATGAATGATTTTTTTTTACCTTGTCCATGTATTCCAAACAATTTTTTCGATGTCTTCATGATTTTTAACTTCTTCACCAGCGGGTGCTGTGAAAATATATGCATGAAATCCGGCTGTCGTTGCCTTTAAAAAGAAAAATTTTCTGAATAAATTTTATTAATAAAATCAAAACAAACTCTAATATATTTTGAATCTGTTGACCAATCAATATATAAAACAGCATCAGCAATACGTGTTACATAACCAACACGTTGTAATTTTTTTTCATCTACATTAACTTCAAAAAAATCCAAACAACATTCTTCTGATGAAGCAACTAATAATTGTCTATTAGGACTAAATCTAAATAAAGAAAAATACAATAATTTATTATTAAATAAAAATTTATAAATTACTTGATACAAAGAATTGCAGTACTACGTTCTCTTGTTTTAAAAACATCATTTAATATTTTCTCTTCAGATGAAAAAGTAACTAAACTAATTTGTCCATCTTTACAACCAACAGCTATTAAAGCTCCTTCACCATCGAATGCAACACTACGAATTTCTTTTCCCATATCACGTTTAACTATTAAACCCTAGAAAGAAAACGAAAAACAAGATATTTTTCGTTATATCAAGTTATTTAAAAATTAAAGAAAATGAATCTATAGATAGAGCAAGATGAAGTAGATATATATGTATATTTTTTTCCTTTTTCATCTATTTACTTACTGCATCGCGAAATGTTTTCTGTTTTTTTTTAATAAATAAAAATAATTTGAGAATAATTTAATAAGAAAAATTATTTACTTTAGTACTAATATTCCAAACAACAAGATTTCGATCATAACTTCCAGTAACAAACATTGCTTCAGTTGGATGAGGTGCTAATGCCCATAATTGACCTTCACCATGACCAAAAACTAAGGGTCGTGATTCTGAATTTGAGGATGTACCATCTATTTCGATAATATCCGAAGTTTTCAAGCCAACTAAAATTTTGCCCTTATAGAAAAATATTTTATATACATTTATATGAAAACTGAATAAAATTTTACTTGTGAATTTCTACAAACAGATCTAACACAGATTGTATCAATTTTAGTATCAGTTTTAGTTAAATTAATTTTTATTGATTTTCCATTATTCATATCAAAATCCCATACTTTAAGTGGTTCAAGTTCTCTTTGTGATCCCAAAGAACGTCTAGCGATAATATAAATATGTTCTTTTCATCTTATTAAAAAACATCAAATAATTAATACAAACTTTTCTTTTGCACCCGTAATGAGGCAATCATTTGAATTAAACATGGATAAAATCGGTCCCAAATGTGCATTAACTGTTTTTAATAATCTATTCTTAATCCAAATAAATACTAAACCAGTCATACTACCCGTGTAAGTACGATTTCCCTATAAAAACATGATAAGAAAATTTTCATGCAAAACTTATTTTTTTCTTACTGTTCCAAATGCAATTGAGAGCATTGTTTGCATTTTTGTTAGTCCTTTTCCATCGCCTGTTTTAGGAATCACAGCTTTTTTTTCAACTAATGTATTTCCAGCAAGAGACCAAAATTTTAAATGTTTAACACCAGCTGATACAAATTCTGTTTCTGAATTTGGGCAAAATAGTGCACGAAATACTCGTTGTTCTGACGCAATTGAACATGCAACATTAACACCTATAGGTAATACATACATATATTTTTAATGAATAAAAAAAGATTCATATTTCTATTCTATTAAATACCTTCCTCCCATCGCCATACAGCTATCGTATATGGTGAATCAACACCAACTGATAATAAAAATCTTCCACTTGCTGAAAAACTTAATGAACAAACACCTAAAATAATCATTTGTTTCTTTTTTT